GACTCTGACTCACTCAGGGAACTCATGGGCAGGATCCCCTGGGAAGCCAGACTGAGGGGGAGAGGAGTGCAGGAGAGCTGGTTGTACTTCAAAAACGCCTTACTGAGAGCGCAGGAACAAACCACCCCAATGTATAGGAAAACAAGCAAGTATGGCAGAAGACCAGCTTGGCTTATCAGAGAATTCTTCAGTAAATTGAATCACAAAAAGGAAGCTTATAAGAAGTAGAAACTAGGACAAGTAACTAGGGAAGAATATAAGAGCACAGCTCAGGCATGCAGGGATGAAAATCGGGAAGGCCAAAGTGCAATTGGAGTTGCAGCTGGCAAGGGATGTGAACGGTAACAAGAAGGGTATCTACAGATATGTTGGTAGCAAGAGGAGGATCTGGGAAAGTGCAAGTCCCTTACTGAATGGGGGAGGCAACCTTGTGATCAAGGATGCAGAAAAGGCTGAAGTGCTCAATGCCTTTTTTTGCCTCCACCTTCACAGGCAAGGTCAGCTCCCAGACTACTGCACCAGGCAGCACGGTTTGGGTAGAAGGCGAGCAGCCCTCAGTGCTGAAAGAACAGGTTGGACTACTTAGAAAAGCTGGATGTGTACAAGTCCATGGGGCCAGATGGGATGCAACTAAGGGTGCTGAGGGTGTTGGCTGATGTGATTGCAGAGCCACTGGCCATCATCTTTAAAAACTCATGGTGATCAGGAGCGGACCTGGATGATTGGAAAATGGCAAACAGTGTCTATGTTTAAGAAAGGGAAGAAGGAGGATCCAGGGAACTACAGACCAGTTAGCCTTACCTCAGTCCCTAGAAAAATCATGGAGCAGATGCTCAAAGAAATCCATTTCTAAGCACTTGGAGGAAAAAACAGTGATTAGGAACAGTCAGTATGAATTCATCAGGGGCAGGTCATGCCTGACCAACCTGACTGCCTTTCATGACGAGGTGACTGGCTCTGTGGACGCAAGGAGACCAGTGGATGTGGTGTATCATGAGTTTAGCAGGGCTTTTTATACGGTCTCCCACAGCATTCTCGCATGCAAGATAAGGAAGCATGGGCAGGATGGACTATAAGGTAGATAGAAAACTGACTGATGCATCGAGCTCAGAGAAGTAGTAATCAATGGCTTGATGTCTAGTTGGCAGCTGGCATCAAGTGGAGTCCCTCAAGGGTCAGTCCTAGGGCCAGTTTTGTTCAATGTCTTCATCAATGACCTGAAAGATAGCATAGAGTGCACCTTCAGCAAGCTTCCAGATGACACCAAGCCAGTGGGAGTAGAAGATATGCTGGAGGGTAGGGCTAGGATTCAGAGTGACCAAGACAAATTGGAGGTTTGGGCCAAAAGAAATGTCATGAGGTTCAACAAGGACAAGTACAAAGTCCTGCACTTAGGATGGAACAATCCCATGTACCAGTACAGGCTGGAGGCTGACTAGCTGGGCAGCAGCTCTGTAGAAAAGGACCTGGGGGTTACAATGGACAATAAGCTGAATATGGGCCAACAGTGTGCCTCTGTTGCTAGAAGGCTAATGGCATACTGGGCTGCATTGGTAGGTGTGCTGCCAGTAGGTCAAGGGAAGTGATTATTCCTCTCTGTTCAGCACTGGTGAGGCCACATCTGGAGTACTGGGTTCAGTTTTGGGCACCTCACTATAGAAAGGATGTGGACAAATTGGAGACAGTGTAGCAGAGGGCAACAAAAATGGTGAAGGGCCTGGGAGACATGACTTACAAAGAAATGCTGAGGGAATTGGGCTTATTTAGTCTAGAGAAGAGAAGACTGAGGGGGGATTTAATAGCAGCCTAGGCTGTTCTCACTGATGGCAGATGAGAAAACAAGGAGCAATGGTCTGAAGTTGCAGCAAGGGAAGTTTAGTTTAGATATTAGGAAGAATTTTCTCACTAAGAAGGTAGTAAAACACTGGACCAGGTTACCCAGAGAGGTGGTGGAAATTCCATCCTTGGGGGGTTTCAAAACTCAGTTAGACAAAGCTTTTGGAATCACCATCCTTGGAGGTTTTTAAGACCCCATTAGATGAAGCTTTTGCTGGGATGATCTAGTTGGGGGTGGTCCTGCTTTGAGCAAGGGGTTGGACTAGATGACCTCCAGAGGTCCCTTCCAACCCTAACTTTCTATGATTCTATGATGCTGTTTTCTACTCCCCAAGCTTTCATGTTCAGAACTTCCCTCTGTCCTCACAGCGAGCCCAAAACCAGGACCCTGGTAAGCAGGCATGGGTACATTCCCAATCACAACCCAGATATGGTTTGCCTATACCTATTCCAGGTTTGTACTGCTCCCCTTTCCCGTCTTGGTTCTAGGTCCTAATTCCCACTTGGGCTCAAGTACCATGACTCTGATTTTCATGGAAAAGTCAGGTACCTGGGATCTAGAGCAGCTTACCTTCACCTCACAAATTCTGGACCATTTTTTACCTGGCAATGGGTCAAGAATGTGGGATCAAACTCCTTCAACCTATTGGGTCAGTGTGGAGGCACGATCCCATGTCACACCACATCCAAAGGACCTCCTCCCACTCCTGCCTCTTTCAGTCACCTCAGTTCTGACAGGCCACAGTTCGCTCATGTGCTATCCTTTCCTCTTCCCAAACCGCTAGGGGCATAGCACTTCCAGTTTCTCCCTTCCCCACACCCTGATTTGTAAAGCACTTTTTCTGAGTTTACTTCAGAAAGCATTGAGGATTTTGACCATTTGCCCTGTTTAATAAAAGGTTCTGTTGCTTTACAAAGAAACCACTATGCCCTGTGTCTTGCTCGTTCCTTACTCAGTCATGTCCCAATCCTGCTCAGTGTTCCAGATCTTCTGAAAATGGTTTGCCAGGGTGTCTCTAATGAGAACTCCTTTACAGCTGCTGTACCACAGGGGCTTGGCCTCCACTTGTGTAGTGGTCCTCAAGGTCCCAACCTTTCTCTCCCTCAGCCTCTTAAAAGCCTTCCCTTTTTGCCTTGCACATGTTATCTAGGATGCAGAGAGCACTCAGTGGCACTCATGTGCCCCCTCAGTGCCCTCCACCATGCTTTGAGGTACCTAAAGGTTTATTCAGTGGTCAGGTAGCAGCTTCTCAGCCAGTTATTGAACAGTTCCTTCCTGGCCTCCAAATACCCCATATAAGGCTTCATGAGCCATAGGAAAACCAGGTATACTGGGTCCCTGACTAGCAAGTGGAATGATGGAGATGAGAACAGTCACTCAATTCCCTCTCTACCTCTCAGCCCAGAGCTCCCACACCTTTCAGGAGATCCTCAAGGGTGATCCTGTCAGCAAAAATGAAATACTATAGGTCAGGCGCTGGCATGCAATCCTCATACTGTTGCCCAAGAAAGGGAGTCTTGCTCACATTAAGAACTGGTGCCTAGTATTGCTCCTGTGTACTAACTAAAAACCTGACCAAAGCCCTGGCTAAGAGTCTCAAAATGGTTATGGCCTCTGTCGGAGGCCCTGAACAGAGCTACTGTGTACCTGACAGAACCATTTGGGAATGTCTTGAGATAAACTTTCTCTGGGTCATCAGGGACACCAGATGGGGTTTGGTGGAGTTTCTATAGACACTAGCATTGTGGCCCTTACCCAACCAGCTGCCAATAATGTGTACAAACAGTCTCTAGTGGTCTATAACTCCCTGCAGCATGATGGAGAACCCTTTGCAGTTAATATATTCATAGCTGGGTGGAACACCGGATGATGTGGGTGCCATCAACAGCCCTGCTGCGGTTGGGAAAGCCCATGCAGGCATATCTAGCAATGCCCTCTTGCAGGTTTGCGATGCAAAGAAACCATAGTACCAGCAACCTTTGGATGGTACAGAATAACTCCTGTATAGGTGATTCCATTATAGACCTGCCTATGCCACGTGCTTCTTCACAGTGATGGATGCCCTCAGGCAGCTAACTTGCTGCTGAGGTGATAGGGCCAGCTTGGTACAGATCCCCTGGAAGGGGGCTCAGCTCATCCAAAGTTCTACTTTTCATTCCAGGTCTCTTGGACTATTCATTCCCACCAACTGATGCTCATTTCATTGGCTTAGGCCATCCACCATGGTGTTCTGCATGCTGTTGTCTTTGGGCATGTTGGCATTGGTGCATACCAGATAGCACACACCTTAATGAAGCAACTTTCATAGAATCATACAAAAACAAGGCTGAAAGGACCTCAACAAGAGGTCCAATCCCCTGTTCAAGACAGGCTCATCCGCTGTCCAAATCAGCCTAAACAAGTCTTTGTCTGGCTTTTTCTTAAAATATACAAGAGCGTTGTTCATGCAAACCAAGCACAGCACCTCAAAACACCAAGAACACCCTAACTTGCCACAGGTGAAGCACAATCTCAGGGCTTCAGTCACAGTGCCACATCACTATCTATCTTCTGGCACCTTAAGCTAGAAGAGGACAAAAAGCACCTCTTGGTGCAAGTGATCAGCCTTTCCAAGCCAAAATTAACCAGGCTCTCAGAGGCAGCAGCCATCCAGCACAAATGGTAGTACGGTAGTAGACAGCTAGTCAGCTCTCCTTTTTGTACTTGGCAAACTTTAGAAGCCTCTACAGACTCATGCCTGAAAGGCATGCTGAGATCTCTACCCTCCAACCCCTCGCTGCAGAGTTCTGCCACAGCATGGCCTCAGGCTCATTTTGAGGTGCTTCAGATGGGAGAAGTTTGTACATATGAACAACATTAAAACACTCCAAATCTGAAGCTCTTTCAACTGGAGCAGGATTTGAAACACTTCAAATTAACGCTATTTTCTGTTCACCCTCAAACATCAATGTGTTCTGCTACAAGTCAACTTAGCAAGATGTAAAAGCATGCAGAAGAGAGGCAGATAAAAAGATCTATCACACAGCAAGATGATACTGCATAAAAAAAAAATTGAAGACAAAACAATACTGGTTCAGTATTGAAGGAGGTGATGTCCCTGGAAAGCAGTCTAGTACAAACAACAAAATCTGTCACATCCTAAAACTAGGAGAACAGAACTTGCCTGCTTCATTTTGGCCAGCTCCCGTCTTGTGTGCTCATCATTCCTCAAGTCCTTCTTGTTTCCTACCAGAATGATAGGTACATTGGGACAGAAATGTTTCACCTCAGGAGTCCACTTCTCTGGAATGTTTTCTGAAAAAGTATAAACAGAACCATGCATATTCATATGTTTAGGGCAATTTTCTTTTCAATATCACCTCTGCTGCCTTAGTTTTATCCTGCTGTACTCTAATAATCTCTTTTTCTTGCATTGGGGAATGCTCCTAATCTGCCCATGGGCTCATTCTGGCATTAGCAAAATGAGAGTCCTGTGTTTGGTGGTTTTAAATGTTCAAAGATGCCTAAAATAGCTAATTACTGATTTATTTCTTACTACTTGGGCTTCTCCCCATCCCTTAATACTGAGAATGGGTTTACTTCTGACCACCAGCATATGGAGATAATAAATCTCTGAAATCCTTTTTACAGGGATTGAAAGCATAAATGTGATCACTACTAAGACTTTCAAAGGAATAAGCACAGCAACTAAAAAAGAGCAAGGAAAATCCCCAACTTTACCACCATACAGCAGACCATACTGGTTGTCATCTGAAGGGCTTGGAAGAGACGAATTTCCCTTCTCCAGTGCATCTATGCTACCCCAGACAATGTGGACTTCAGTAAAACAAAGGCTGAATATGGATAAGTCCACAGTCCACGTACCCCAGTATTTTGTCCCTAGAAGTGGTCACTGTCAGATACTATGAAGAACAGTATATGAAACCCCAAAAGTAGACAGTTATGGGATACTTTGTCCCAAGAGAAACATTTCCCTAACCCCAAAAGTTAAAGGCTGGCTCAAGCCACAAAGTGAAAGGGGTAACATTTCTTTCAAAACCTTTTCTTTCATTAGCTTTAGTTATACCTAGACATCTCTGCTATCTGTAGAAATGTACTCTTTGCATATCCCTAAATTCTTAGCCTCAGCAACATTTTGTCACATCTAGTTCCACAAATAAACTACAGATGTATGAAAAAGTATTTTCCTTTAACCCATTTGGAATTTTCCACTATTTCACTGGGTGTGCTATTACTCATGAGCTAGGAGCAGTGAGAAGAGATGCATCTGACCTGCCTCCTCTAGTCTGTGCATTATTGTAAGTAGAACTAATTATTATTCCTACCTATTTAGATAGTTGACACTTCTCATTACACAGGATTTTGCAGATTTTTCTTGCAGAAGTTCTCATACCTCCATTGCTTAAAATAGCCCTCTGATGT